CAGCCCCCTGACACAGGCGGCTTTGCCGGAGCCAGGGGAGCAGCGTGTTGTAAGCGAGAGCTTCTAAGGCTCTGGGAGCATGTATTTAAGCTCCTTAAATAGAGCTGGCCTGATGTTACCTCCTGGGTGCATTGAGTACCTGTAGTTTGTAGTCCGAGAGCTGTTTTGATCTCAGTCGGGTCAGTTCTAGCAAGGCCCCCAAACTCTTGTCCTCCGAGAGCATCTGTGCCTGCTTCTGATAGACCTGGAAAGTCTCTAGAGAAGTAGTGCCTCTTGGAAGCTAGCTCAGATCTTTTTTTTTTTCCCCCCATACGTGGTTCCAAGGGAAGAGTTGATTTGTGTGCAAGCACAAGCTGTAGCTGGGCTCTGGTCACCTTAGTTTATGGCAAAACTGTGCGTGGGGTTTCTGTGTCCTTCCGAAACCTGCAGGAGCTTCCCTGAAGCAGAGGCTTGTTTCCAGTTGTCCCTTTTTCCTTAGCGTGCATCGCTGGCTTCAGGAAGGGAAGTCCTTCAGCGTACCCCTATCCCAAAATCTTTCGGTGCAGCGTGTCGGCCTTGCTTTGGTGCCGTGGGCCAGCTATGGTGATGGAGCCGGGTCAGCTAAAAGCTCCTTTACTCTTTCCTTTTCTAATGCTGATCTACAGCCCCACCTGGGCGTGCAGCCTTCACTCATCCTGCTTTGCCCACTTCTTCGACCTCGCTGCGCTGTGTCGAAGGCAGAGGTGACGTGGGGGCTGCTCTCGGTGGGACGTGGTGATGACGGGTGCTACGCTGACCTCTCTGCTTCTGGAAAAGGTCACTGTTGGTTTGTAGAAGACCCTTTGCTCCATCCAGGTGGGGTCGGATCTGGCTTGAGAGGTCTCTAGGCTGGTCTCTGGGCATTGCTGCCCCAGGAGCAGAGGTTCTCGATGAAATTCACTGCTCACCCTCCAAGGTGCCGTTCATCTCGGCCACCGGCATCCGCGGTGGCCATTTGGTAGGAGCTGGTGCTGTGCTTTAGGTTGGAGGCCTCATTAATCAAAATCTACACCCCCCTTCCTTCCCTCCTGCCAGGGAGACGGACCTGCTTCTCTCCCTTGAGCTTTTAGCTGAAGTGGACGTTGATCTTGGTAGTGGGCCAGGTTGCGGTGCCACCAGCCCCTCTGGACCAGGAGGCTGGGGGGTCCCAGGCTGGTTTTGGTTCTGGTCTGAGCGAGCGAGGGCTGAATCGCTCTCTTCTCCTCCTGTTACCCTGCACCTAAAGGCAATGCAAGGCAGCAGCATCAAACCCAACCTGCAGAGGGGCGAACCCGGGGCATTTCAGACTCAACCCTTGTCTCCAAGTGGTTTTTGGCTCTCTGGGCTCCTACCAGAGCGCCCCTGTTATAAACACAGGACGGGGAGCTTCTCTGCAACCCTGCAGAGCGTCTTCGAAGGCCTGTGTCCATGCGGCTGTTTGGTTTCCCTGGGCAGGGTGGGGAAGGAGTTGGTGGTGCTGCCCCCTCCTTCTGGAAACAAGTTGGGCGGGACTCACGGCAACATGCACT